TAACTTGCATGGAGAATTCACTCTGGGTATTTTACCATGGTAGGTTAAATGTGCTCAGGAGAGAAAATTAGCAATCAGGATTGTTTGGTGAACACATAATTAGAAGAAAGAGAATGTGTAGTCTTGAGGGACTTTTCTTTTACATTAGGATAGTTGAAGTTTCTTGTCTACTCTAGCTATATTTCTCTTTGAAAAAGTAGTCATAATCTTTGAACTCAAATAGCCTTCCCTTTTGGCCATTGCCAGGTATACAGTTATATTTTGTTCACTGTTAACCTAGACTTATTGTAAATCATCTTTCTGTTGACATATGATTGTCTTAGTAAAACTTTTCTGTTGGTTAACTTTTGGTATATTAACTGCATGTTATTCACCAGCTCTAATATATTACCTGTGAGCCTTTAATTGAATAATAACAACAGTTATTGAGCTCTGTTTGTCAAGCACCTTAAGTGAGTTATCTCACTTAATCCTTTTAGCAATCTTAAAATACAGATCTCTATTTCCTAGATGAAGAGACAAAATAGAGATAGTTTAAGTCATCCTCCTAAGGTCACATAGTTAACAAGTAGTAGAACTGTGATATAAATCCAAGCAATCTGACTCCAGAATCACTATAGATTATACTTTACAGCTTTTCATAAGGTACTTTCTAAACCTTGATTTCATCATTTAAACAAAGTTAATATCTTTCCTAGATATTTTTGGGACTCTAAATGTGATAACGGATATAAAGCTTTTAGCATACTACCAAATATGTAGTGATTAATAAATGGTAGCCATTATTAAAAGAATTTCTTCAGTATTTTATTAATTGATGTCGCCCTAATAATTCCAACCTCAATTCCAAATGATGATATTTTATCACCTATTTCCAAATTCTTGGTGCCTTTATGGAGGTTACAGCCACCCTTCCCTCCATTCTGCAATGACTGCACATGTTACTCTAAAACTCAGCCATAACTCCACATATTCACTCCACAACTTTGTCTATGGTCACTGCTGTCCTATCGACCTAAGAAGTAAATTTCACTTTCTGCAAATTCCCAGATTAAAATTAGGGAGTTACTTAGGTATGAGCATTATGTTTACTGACAATTTCATACAAAAATTAATTCCTTGTTCTTCTGTTTGAGTAAGACCTACTTATTTCTAGAACAGCATTTTACAGTTGCTTGTTAAATTATAACTCCGGATATTTTATAACACAAAGGTTAATGTACCATAAAATTAAGAAAAAAATTCTCAACTAAAAAAAAGTTATTTTAATATATTTCAATTATGGCTCATGTAGTGAATTTAAGATTTGGAACTTTTTATATAAAGTTATTTTTCATTGTTTTTGAATAGCAGATTTTTCCTACATGTGTCTGAACATCAAGAATAAAATCTGCTTAATTTATCTGTACTATAAGAAAATTTTTCTTGGCTCTAGAAATGTAAACTTAGATTTGATCACTGCCTCCTTACACCCTCAGTTAACTATAGAATTGAGAATGGGTCTTTTCTAAATAGGCTCATAATATGACTTTATATGAGTTATGGCAGATTCAACATCGCAACTGTAAGAAACCTCGATCACCACTAGGGCCAGAAGGTATCTGTATATCAGTGATGCTCAGAAGGTCACAAGGGCTCTATGATCATTCCCTTTTCCCCTTGAAGTTAGTATAATATTTAGCAAGCATTTACTGAACAAGGAGATAGGTGTGATATGTGAGATGGGTAAATTTAAGTACTTTATTCCAAACTTTTATTGAAGTTAAAAAAAAAAATGCCCAAATCATAAATGTTGTGAAAAGCTGGCATAAATGGAGCCATTTTAAAATGGAGTCAAGGCAGCTACTCCAGAAAAATGTCACTATACATCCTACTCCTGGAACCTTTGGAATGTTTGGACTGGGCAAAATAACTTTTGAACTAGGCCAGAACAGCATTGTTTTCCCAACAACTGTTTGTAAATCTAACAGGAAAGAAGACATCCTGACTATAAGAACAGATAATTGAAGACATTCTTAGGATCAGTAAACAGCCATGTATAGCTAAAGGATAACAGCTTATTAGCACCAATAGAATTTCTTTCCCTCTATTTATATAATTATTTCCTTTTCTTTTCTCAGAAAACCCCCTTGCCTTCACCCCATAAATAGAACACTGATTTAGGTTTCTGCCTGACTCAGTGTTCTCCAAACAGCTATTCTTTGATTTCAAATAAACGCTTGTTGTCTCTCACTTTAAATGTCAGGTTAATACCATGCAGCTCAATGAATTATAAAGTGAAGATCCCTGTGTAACTAGAACCCAGATTATGACAAAGAATATTATCGAGAACCCAAAAGGTCCTTTATGTCCCCTTCCAGTCACTACCTCCTCCCCATTCATTAGGGCAACCATTATCCTAGATTAATTTTAGCTACTTTTGAACTTCATGTAAATGGAATCATAAAACATGTACTAGTTTGTGTGCTAATTCAACATTGTATTTGTGAATGACATCCATAGTGTTCAATGTGGCTGCAATTTCTTCTCATTGCATATAGTATATAGTATTCCACTGTGTGAATATATGACGATATGTTCATCCAGGCTACTATTCATAAGCAATCTGGAATTTCTAGTTTGGGCTATTATGAATAGTGCAGTGATGAACATTGGTAAACACATGTGCATTTCTGTGGGAATATATCAGGAATGGAATTTCAGGGTCATGGGGTATATATGTGTTCAAATTTAACGGATTCTGACAAATATTTTCCAAAGTAAATGTTATCAATTGATACTTCCATTAGCAGCATGTAAAAATTCCAATTGCTCCATACCCTCTTCAACACTTGATATTGCCTAATTTTTTCCTTTTAGTCATTCTGATGCATGCCAATTGGTAATTTACATTTCCCTGACTTGCAGTGCCAGTCAAAATGTAGTAAGACCACTACAGCCTAGCTTTCCTATTGATTACAACTGAAAGCTCAGGACAAAGCACAAAAAGCAACTATCTGAGAACTATGAAAAGTAAACAAAAACAGACAGATCTGGGAGGGAAATTAAAACTTGGAGAAATGCTCTGGGTGTTTGTTTTTCCTATTTTCTCTCACAACTTTGACCTGAAGCCTGGCACCTAGTGATACTGCAGTGGTAGCACAGGCAGCAGAACCTGAGAAAAAAAAAAAAAAACAACCTATATTTCTAGCTATATGAATGGGGCAAGGGGCTTCTATGAGCCAAAGTTTGTGGGGAAATACCTGGCTTTTTCTCCTCCTTTTTTCCTTCTGGGCTTTGACCTGAGAGTTAGGGCTTAGGCTTAGACAGCTCCAACACCAAGAGAAACCCTGTCTTTCTAAAGAAAGTAAATAGGAAAGGGGGCCTCTATGATCTGAAGAATGTGAAAAATGTGGAAGTAATCCACGTTTTTTTCCTCTCTCTTCTCACCTCTACCCCAGTGTAGAGCCTAATCAGCTGCTGGAGTTATGGCAGGCAGCTAAAACTCCAAGAGAAATCTCTTACATCTAGCAAGAGGGCCAGGAAAAGGGGACTCTACCAAACAGAGAGAACAAGAGGAATATCAAAAGAGGAAGACAGTAGAAGGGAACCCCCTAATTCTATGTATGAAGTCATACATAGAATTATACGTAGACTTAACGCCTGAAGGCAACATAGAGTCTTCCCACTGTAGCAGGTCCGGAAGTCAGCTACTTAAGAATCTATCTTCTCCATTGGACAGAAGCCTGCTTTCCTTATCTAGTATCCTAATCCTCATTGTTTTGCATACGAATAAATCTGTTTTTGCATTAAAAAAAAAAAAGCCTAAACTGAGAATCTTGCAGGACAGACATAAAGCTGCATAGCATAAGATATGTGAATTGAACTTCAATTTAAACTACTGTCCAGATCCAAAATAATCCCTAAGTGTTGTATACATATGTCATACTCAAAACAGCATAACGAAGCCTTTGAAAACTGACCTGACATGGAACCAGCACCCAGAGAAACTGAGATTGAACTTGTAATCTGAATCAAATTACATTGATTGCCTCCTAAAACAAAAAGAAAAATCAGCTTTCCCCAAACGTTTTTAACAGGACTGAGTTTATGTAACATAATATTCAAATTGTCTGAGATAAAAACCACAATTAATCGACATACTAAAAATTGAAAAATATTACTGGTTCTGAAGGAAATATAAAATTAACAGCTGCCAACCCCTAGATGACCAAGATGTTACAATTATCAAAGACTTTCTTTAAAGCAGTTATTATAACTACAACATAATTGAAAATATTCGCTCAAGGTACATGCTGTTGTCTAAAAAATTTTAAAAAGCCTCACATTTTTGTAACTTAACTCGTGCGTTGTTTGTAATGACAAAACTGAGAAATATAAGGGATAAACTGTCACACAAAGGAATAGTACCGGCATATAGCAGTAAATTTAAGGAACTACATTCGAAGATATGCAACAATCTGGGATGAGTTTAGAACCATATTGTTGAGTGAAAAAAGGAGTTAAAATTATATTAAGTATCCTTGTAAAGCTCAACCTTTATCAAATTAAACATGTATTACATAAAGTCAACTTTTAAAAAGCAAAGGAATAAACGCAAAATACAGAAGAGCGTTACCTCTGGAAGAAAGGAAGAGGAGGAAAAAAAATCAGATAATCTTAACTATACTGGCAATATCCTGAGTTCCAAAATTACTTGTCGGTTCCCAGGTGTACACTGCTTATCTGTCACATCTATTCACCAAAAAACAACTTTCTAAAAGACAGCTTGTGTGCATAATAAAAGAATAAAATTTTCAATATTTTATTAAAATAAGTTCTCTAAAAATTTGACAGCCCTCTGTATTTCAACCCCAAGCGTAAAAGGCAGCCCGCGGGTTCCAAGCCCCAAACTGAACACAGTCACTTCCGCCTCCGCCTACGTAGCTCCGCCCATCGGAGCTGCGAAAATACTTTATTCCGTGTCCTCCCGCCTGTAGGGGGCTCTACAAGGCTTCTAGTGCCAAGCAGGCCTTCCTCCTGGGGTATCCGTGCTGCGCCTGTCAGTTTAACTCGAGAGAATAAATTCGCATTATAACTTATTTGGCCAGGAAAAACTCATACAGGCATCTTACTCTGGCCGATAACGTTTAAACTCAATCCCGGCCGACTGCCCTTCTTATCAAACCTTGAGGCAGTGGTGGGTAGGAGTCAGGCGGCGTGGGGACAGCCCCAGAGTGCCGAAAGTCCCCGGCCCGCTCTCTCCTGTGAAGACGTAGCTGCGGGTGGTTGTGGTGGCGGCTTTCAAGATGTCGACCAAGAATTTCCGAGTCAGTGACGGTGACTGGATTTGCCCTGACAAAAAGTGAGTTCATAAAGGGTCCCGAAATAGGTTGGGGTTTGTCATAGGTGGAGGCTTTCCCAAATTGGTTCGACATTTTCCTTTTTTAAGATCTCCGGTGCAGTAAGCCGGGTTGAGGCGGCGAATCGCTTGCCTCCCGGGCGGGAAGGAACCTCCGAGTCTCCTCATAAGGAGGTCTTTCGGAAACCTTTGTTTTGAGTGTGTCTCCAGCGTTTTTTAGACATTATGTCTCCAAAACAG